GAGAACTCGTTAAGAGCCCTGCCAACCAGCTTCTTGGGTCATTCCATATAGTTAACTTAGGTCTGGATGAAACTAACTAACCACAGGTGTTTTCTAAAGATTGACATGACTCAGGTAAATGTACTTTTGAAAAGAGGTAGCAACAAACATAGATTTGATTTTTTTTTTCAGATAGTGGAATGATCTGTAGGTATATCCCCCGATTATATTGACTTATAAACTGATTTGTATAAAAATAGCACCATCTGCAATCAAAGTACCTGCACTCTTGTATACCTACCCAATAGTTAAGTTTCAAACTACCCTGACCAATTCTGCTCCCAGACTTGAAATAACAGAAAACTCCAACTGGTTATCACTTCCCAGTTAGGGACCTTTAGCAAGCTGCAAACCACAATAAAATATAAGCAATTGTCCCATACAAAAACACATTACCAGTGTTTATATTATATCTTTTATTTTTATTTTTTTAAACAGATTTTAGACAGACTCTTGCACAGGGGGCTCATACCCATCAGCCCGTTCTACCTTGGCACCAGTTTCATCACCTGATGGCTTTCCAGCACCACCACCTTCACCATGCAGTTCCATCAGCTTGCCCACTACAATTAAAAAAAAAAAGTTTAATTCATAAAAACTTTTGTACTAAAATTCTGCATTTTGAACAACATTAAGTTTATGAGCTTCTAAGGAATGCAACATTTCATATTAAACTGCTTAGATATATTTTAGATGCCTTTTGAAAACTTAAAAATTGCCCCTTTGTGGTTTATAGGAATGTCAGCATTGGGAAAAAGTAATCATTTACTCATATGGGACCGAAACAAGTTGTCATCATTCATTCCCATACCAAATGAATATAATGAACGAAAATCTTTTGATAAATAAAAGAATGCTTACATTCAAACTTGGGCTTCTTAAGCATCTTGACTTTACGAACATAGACATCATGAAGGGGATAGATTGACTGACATGCTTTTTCTATATCTTTACCAATGCTGTCTGGAATCCTAAAATGATAAGGAAGAAATTGTTCAGTTAGCAGCCTTATAAATTACTGAAGAGAAACAGAGGTACATAAAACTGAAGTACTATTGCTTCTGCCTAATCTCAACAAGATGCTATTATGGTTAAATTCTGAAATGCACTGATGTCTTATGATGGGAGCTTGTGATTCCTATCACTTACACATGGCATGGTCACATGGTACATTACAAAGACATTTCAAGCTAAAACATAGCATTTGCCTCAAAATGTGATTTAGATAGTAGGGGGGGAAACCCTGTGTTGCTGTGGGTGAGGTGACCAGAACAGCTGGAGCAAGGAACAGCAGCAACTTCGCCTATAAAAACACTAACAGTTCCCCCTTTGTAAAATGGAATAGTGCCTTCTCATATCAACTGCTACTTGATTTGTTCCCCTCTTCATTAAAAAAAAAAGTTTACCATCTGAGACATATGAACAATATTAAAATGTCTGTAAGAAAAGCTTAATCCCGAATGTGACTGAATATCAACCAACATTTACAATGGGACCAAACTTTAATCACACTGCAAAGCAAAACCACTGGAATCAACAGGACAAGTTCATAATGACCAATTTAAGCCCCACCAATTTCAGTGGGGCTACTCAGACCAAGTTTGGCACCACCCCCAATAAATCAACTGGGTAAAATCTAAAAATGTAAAGGCTTTTTGGACAACTGGCAATTTCTGCAAGCATTTTTATAAATGCCTGAATTGGATAAAGTTGAGACATACCAAGGGCATCGAAATTACTTATCCTCAAACATCTTTTTTGAGCATCACAAGGATAAAATAAGAATTAAAAATGGAGTTAATGGCAGATCTGAGAACGCTGGTTTGCTAGCCTATATTACACATTTGCTGTGTGCCTTCAAGTTGTTTCCAACTTATGGTGACCCTATCATGGGGTTTTCTTGGCAAGACTAGTTCAGAAGAGGTTTTCCACTGCCTTTTTCTGAGGCTGAGAGAGTGTAACTTGGCCTAGGTCACCCAGTGGGTTTCATGGCAGAGTTGGGAATTGAACCCTGATGTCCAGAGTTCACGTACTACTTACTATATACTACTTACTTCAGCTTAAAGGAATAAAGACTGCCTTTCTTTTTAAAAAAGCCACTTACAGTTTATTGACAACTTCTTTCAGGTCATTTGTCTGAACTTCTCGTGTCATGATTTCCACCATTTTCTTCCGGATTTGGCGGACTTGCTGGTGCTGGGCATAGGAAGTCTTGCGAATCTGGTTAGTACGCTTCTTAGTGAAACCAACACAGAAAAGGCGCAGAAGGTATCCATCTGTAGTTTTGACATCAACATGGGCTTCAATCATTGTCTGGAAAAATTTAACACAAGACTTCTAACACTTTTTCTTAACAAGTAAGATTACATTTAGATAAAGAGAGTCTAATAGTAAAACACTACACATCAACATTATATAAGCTCAGTAAAAATATCATGAAGTGAGCTTGAAAAACCGGTGTTATTTCATTCAAGTGCTCATGTTTATGGAAACAAAAACAAACACCCTTGTAAATAACTTTCTTTTATCATTTGTTAGAACCATTTCTAACACAATCTGGCACTGAAGCTATATTTAGTCACTATGCTGAACCTACAAATCCCACAAACAGCAAACAAACATTAAAAACTTAGTACAATCATGTTAGTATTACTAACCTGCCATTTTTTGACCATTGAACACATTTTGTCACGTGTAAGATCCATGCCATGGAAGTTTGTCAGACAATTTTTCCCTTGCACATCCTCTGTGATCAGTTTGAATTTACGGAAGGCAACTTCATCATTCTGTAGGTCAGCAAGACTTACTTCAAATACACGGCCTTTAAGTCCATCAGAGGCAATTTCTATAAATACAAAAAGTGTTAATATTTCATAAAGTCTTTATTATCCATTGCTAAGCTAATGTTGAGATCCTAAGAAGTGTCTCAGAATTGTCTGTTTTCTGTAAGTAACTAAAAACCATAAAAGTAAATATGCAAAGAATCACAGAACAGTTTAACCAATGTTAAATGCAATGTCCAATTGTTAGTTCCAGCTAAATCCAGTAAATAAATGGAACTTACAGAAATGTGTCTACTTTATTCCACACTCACACTAAGCACTATCCTCTTTATATGTATTTCAGCTTTTTTTTTACATTGCTGCCTTTAGTTGAGATAGACTAAAACTCAATGTAAGATTTTCCCTACTGATTTCAGTTTAGATTCAGTTTAGACCTAAGGCCTTACATTTAGAATTCAAAAACACTAAGTAATGCAAGAAAAATTGCCTCAGATCATCAAACATTACCGAATAGGTCCTAAAACAGTAGAATTAAATTGCACAAACTTAAGCTTACTTGTTCCCTGAGTCCTGGTGACTAATGTCTTCCCAATGTTTCGAATATTAAACATTGCTGGAGCCTTGACATCATACCAGTCCTTCTTTGAAAAAGGATCAACCCTGATATTAAAGAAAAGAGAAAAAGTTTTCAGATCACCTTTGTACAACTTCAACTCACAATTTCCTAGTAACTGCAATACTTCCAAAAAGGCCAGCAAACCTTTTGATAAAGGCTAGACAGGGCTGAAAATGCTCAGAATCTCTGCCTCCAATTTTCAGGGTTTCTGTTTAGAGCAAGAAATGCCCAAACTCTTTTTTGAGCCAGTGTAATTTCACATTGCTAATGACAAATAATGCTTAAATACCTGAAAGGCACCAGTTCTTGGAAGCTAAGCAGGGCCATCTGTGGCTGGTCTTGGATGGGAGACCACCAACAAATACCAGGTGTTGTAGGTTGTATTTCATAGGAAACAACTGGCAGTATTCCTTGCCTATTATTAAACTCCTGGGGTCATCATAAGTTGACAAGTGACTTGAAGCACATGCACACACAATGACCAGTAACATAACTGAGGATGTACTCACAATACAGAAATAGTTTGACCACTTTAACTGCCACTATTCAATGGAACCTGGGATTTGTAGCTTTGTGAGATATTTAGCATCCCCTGACAAAGAGCTCTGGTGTCCTACCAAACAACAAATCCCAGAATTTCATCACAAACTGCTTTATGTCTGCAGCGTGGCAGCAGTCTAACACTGTTTAAAATGATTTTTTCATCCTACTATTCTTATTTTCAATTAAAAAACACAACCCAGAATTCAAAGACAGTCATGTTAGTCTGTAAAATCAGTATGCAAAGGGAACTTGTAGCACCTTTGAGAACAACTGCTGCTACAAGATACCTCTGCATTCTAAAAAAAAACAAACAAAACAAAACTAGGAAATGGGAATGAACTCTGAAGACAAATAACTGTTTTGATTGACCTGCAGGAAGACCTAGCAACAATATCAAGAGATATTTCTTTACCCCTGTAATAACATAGTTCTTGTGTGATACCTACCTGATGAATCTGGGGAAGTTCTCAGTGCATTTCCCCACATTCTGTTTCAGGAGGGCCTTATCACAAAGTTCAGACCAATGATTTGCTTGGCTTCTCTGCATGAGGACTGAAGTATGCAACACCCCCTTTCCCCTATACAATCTACATTTGTTGTTGTGTGCTTTCAGGTCACTTTTGACATGGCAACCCTAAAGCAACCCTGAGAGCTGGTGTGGTATAATGAGTTTTAGCTCTGGACTAGGGTTTGAATCCCAGCATGGCCATGTAAATCCACAGGGTGTGTGGCAGGGGGTTGGACTGGATGGCCCTTGTGGTCTCTCCCAATTCTATAATTTTATTATCCTGGACAAGTCACACTCTCACAGCCTCAGAAGATGGCAAAGGCAAATCCCTTTGAAGGAATTTGTCAAGAAAACCTCATGATAGGGTCCCTTTAGAGTTGCCCTAAGTCAGAAATGACATCAAGGCACACAACAATGGGCTTTCTTGGCAAATTTCTTCAGAGGTGGTTTGCCCTTGCCTTTCTCTGAGAGTGAGAGTGTGAATTGCCCAAGCTCATCCACTGGGCTTCCATGGCAGAGCCAGGATTTGAACCCTGGTCTCTAGAGTTGTTGTCCAATGCTCAAACCACTATGCCATGCCAGCCCCCCAATCCACATCCCCCCAAAAAACCCCAAAAGCAAACCCCTTATGCAGGATGACCTGATGTCCTAGCAAAGGAGGGCAAGACACCACAAAATGTAGGACATGACCAAATAAAAGCTAAAAAACATAGAAACAGAAATTCATGCTTCTGAGTCATGCTCAAAAGGATGACATTTTGCAGTTTTTCCTGGACAGAAAAGTGAAATGGAGGACACATCCTGGAAAATGGAAGACCTCTGTACATCCTAAGCCATGATGTCTATGTGGAAGGAACCCTGTGACTCTATGTCTCAACATAGTTATATTACTAGTTTTGGTTTTTTTGTTTGGAGAAGGTTTGTCACTGCCTTCCCCTGAGGCTGAGAGAATGTGACCTGCCCAAGGCAAAGTGACCAGATGCCAAGGAGGACAAGACACTGCAAAATGGAGGACATGACCAAATAAAAGCTTAAAAACACAGAAATTATAAATCCATGCTTCTGGATCATGCTCAAAATTGACTGCCAAGAGGACAAGGCACTGCAAAAGGGAGGACATTCAAGAAAAAAAAAGACACTCCCAAAATAAAAGCTATAGACAGACACTCATAGAATTTTAGGTTCATGCTTCTGACTCGTGCTCAAAATGGAGGGCATTTTGGAAATCCTTCTGCAGGTAAAGGAGGCCATGTCCTAAAAAAGGAGGACATCCAGTCACCCTGGTCATGCTCAAAATGGAGACTACTTTGGAATTCCTAGAAAGGAGGTTGAAATGGAGAACATGTCCTAGAAAAAGAAGACCTCTGGTCACCCTGATCATGCTCAAAATGGAGGACATTCTGGAACTCCTCCTGGACAGGAGGTTGAAATAGAAAAGGAGGGCGTCTAGTCACCCTGGTCATGGGCATTTTGGCATTCCTCCTGCACAGAAGGTAAAGGAGAACATGTCCTGGAAAAGGAGGACCTCTGGCCATGTTTCAAAATGGAGGACCTTTCTGAAACTCCTGAACAGGAGGATGAAATGGACGTCCTAGAAAAGGAGGACGTCCGGTCACCCTGGTCATGCTCAAAATGGAGGATACTTTGGAACTCCTCTTGGGCAGAAGGTTGAAATGGAGGACACGTCCTGGGAAAGGAAAACCTCTGGCCACCCTGACCGTGCTCAAAATGGAGGACATTCCTGGAACTCCTCCTGGACAGGAGGTTGAAATGGTGGGCATGGCCTGTAAAAGGAGGATCCCTGGTTATGCTCCCTGAGCAGAACCTTGGAGGAGGCTGCTGCTGCTGCTGCTGCACTAAACCCCGTTGCAAAGGTACTGAGCCCAGATAAGAGGCTCCCGGAACGTCTTTCCCGGGTCCTTGTTTCGGGACGGACGGCATTTCTCCCGCTCCCCACCTAGTCCTCTTTCGCGTCGGCGCCTGGCCTTCCTTTCCCTTCCAGCCGCCATGTCAGCGGCGCTTCCCTTCCAGCCGCCCCCACCTTCCTCAATCCGCCCAACATCGGAGGCATCCCGCGTTCCCAGGCGGCCGCTCCCCCTCCGCTGCTTCCCGGACACCCGGACGCTTCCGCCCCGCCGGACTTACACTTTCTTCTTGGCGCCTTTCTTGCCTCCTTTCGTGAGGCGCTTGTTCTTGCCGACCGCCATCGCGCCGCGCCGGAGACCAAAGAGGGCGGGACACGGAAAGCACGCGAGATTATACGAGAGTCGGCTCCACGCGAGAGTTTCCAAGCATTCTCACCTCTCGCGATATTAGCCGAGGTCCCGGAGTGGCTTTGGCCGAAACTGGGCGGGAAATCACAGCGGCCTCTGGCGGCAGGTTGGAGACACAGCAGGTCAATGGGAAATTAATTGTAGTGTAATGTAGTTTTAATTTTAGGGGACAAAGCCCCAAGTTTTTACCTAGTTAGGATGGCAAATGGAAAGCACGCGTATAGGAATTGCAGGTACTTTCTGCATATTTTTCACAGGGAGTGCCATTCATTCTCAGCACTTCTATAGAGCAAAGGCAGGGTGACCACATGTCCTCCTTTTCCAGGGAATGTCCTACATTTCAGCCTCCTGTCCAAGAGGAATGCCAAATTGTCCTCCATTTTGAGCATGACCAAGCAAAAGGAACAGTTTTGTTTGCATTTTAAAAAAATATCCCCACAAGGAGCTTTTATGGGATTTTTTTCAAATAGCAGAAGCTTCAAGCCCCCTTTATAAAGTACAGAGGGCTGTAAACAGGTCTGAGGGAGATGCAAAATGTATATAAATAAACATTAATTATAACAATAAGCAGTAATAACAGTTTCAGTCTTATCGCTAACAGTGGAAGATTAATAATAATAATCATTTATTCTTATACCCCGCCTTTTGCCAAGACTGTCAAGAACAAAACACCCATTAATTCAAGTCATGGACTATAGGGCTACTGCTACACTGCAGGATTCATGCAGTTTGACACCACTTTATCCACCATGGCTCAGTGCTATGGCATCCTGGGAATTGTAGGTTGTTGTGGCCAGACATCTCTGTCAGAGGCGGCTAAATATCTCACAAAACTACAGTTCCCAGAATTCCATAGCATTGAGAGAGGGCTGTTAACAGTGGTGTCAAGCTGCATTATTTCTGCGATGTGGATGCACCCTTTGACAGAGAAGGCTGTGTATCTTCACTAATCCCAGAATTCCATATCACTGAGCCAAGGTATTTAAAGCTGTGTCAAAACTGCATTAGTTCTGCAGTGTAGATGCAGCCTAGGACTGGGGAAACCCAGGTCCAGTTCTTCCCTTGGCCATTAAGCTTATACGGTACTCTTTGACTTTGGGTTAGTCACTATTTCTCAACTTTACTTACTGCACAGAGATATGGTCAGAATAAAAATGGAGAGAACTATGGACTTGAGCTGGGAGGAAAGGGAAGTGACAAACAAATTAATGAACATGTCTGCAGTTCATTTCATATGTTGACAAATAGAGTGTGACTTCTGCCATAGTACAGTCACCCCTCTGTTCTCGCGGACTTGAGGTCCACAGTTTTGAATATTCATGGAGGGGCAACCTCTGTTAAAACCAATGGGGTATACCCACGGGGGCGCCCCCCATTCAAGCCTATGGGGCTTGAATATTGGCGAGTCTCCATTTTCGCAGGGGTCCCCCCCGGAACGGATCTTCTGCGAAAACAGAGGGCCGACTGTATATCTCTTAATTTTAACATGTTTGGTTTTAACCTGTAAACGTTTGTGCATATTATAAATGGGTTGTTTTTGTGTGTGTGTGTGTTATTTAGGAACTCTAGGTTTTGTTGCAATGTATCTTTCTGGTGATGGTGTGGAGGAGAGGAATGATCAGAACATTCACATGGGGGTTACCTTTAAAGAGAGTCCTGTGGTGGTTGTTGCTGTTGCCTTCAAGGAGACCTGGGACCTTATCACACGCTGGCCACGAAGCGAAAAGTAACCGAAATAAGAATAAATTCAGTTCTATACCAAAATGAACTGAAAGAGCTCCCCGCAATATGTAAATGCCTACCACACGCAATTACTGCCACAGCGCAATTATCGCGCTTCCCGAGACACGCATCCTGGAAACGTATTCTCCGTGCACACACATGTTAGAAAATCCCATAAATTACAAAGAGAGGACCATGTTTACCCGTCCCATTTGTTGCCCAATCCAAACAGGACGGACACGTCATAAGAAGCTTCCTCTCAGATCCATGGGAAGTAGCGCGGGGAACCATAGGTCAGGGCGGGGAAATGCTTCACAATAAGTATTGCGTGATCATATGTATTTCGCCTACACAGCCATTGCGCAATGATTCCGAAAGCGCGGTTGTACTTCCCCAAAAAAAGAATGTCAAAAGATCTCACTTCGTTACGGATTAGCTCCGGGTTCTGTCGAGTTTTGGTGCAACGTCTTGTGTAAACACGGGGAAATAATATGTATTAGCTACGGATACCCTTTGGATTAGGTCTGCTTTAGACCCCGTGTGATAAGGTCCATAGCACTGTTCCCAAGGTGTGTTCTCTTCCAAATTAAAAGAGGGAATGTTACTGAGCTGTTTGTTGGAGAAGGGGCTCTAACTTCCACTTGAAAAAGTAGGAAATATTTTTTTCTCCTCTGTGCAGGTTAACAAGCAAACAAAAACTCAGAACCCTCAGCCATCTTTCTTCAAAGGTAAACCACAACCTGCAAGTTCTGAGCTCCCCTCCTCCCCATCACTGGGTTGCATTTGTACTCTGCCTTCTGGATTGCTGGAAAAAGTTTGGGTCAAGTACTGTAACCCAGCACTATCAAATATGGATGTAACTGAAATTTGTAAACGTGCAAATTGAGTCCACTTTAACTGCCCTGACTCAGTGCTAGGGAATCATGGGAACTGTAGTTTATTGTGGCACCAGAGCTCAGTGTTTCAGAAAAAAAAATCAATTCCCATGATTCCCTTGCACTGAGCCAGGGCAGTTAAAGTGGACTCAATTTGCACTATTTCTAGCAGTCTGCAAAGGCCCATTGTTGACTTTCCAGCATGAGCTACTTTGGTCCCTGACGGGTTCTGCAAGTAGCCTGTGCATAAATGAGGCATTCTTAACACTATACTAGTTCATTCTGTACCTGCCATTAATAATCTGAACAATATCTTTTATTTTGGGCAGGACATAGTGGTGTCATTTCGCTGATGGGATAGCTCCTGTCCACAGAACTGGGAGGCAAGAATTCCTTCTCCCCACTGCCATCTTGTATTTCCTGAAAATCCATTTTAGAGCATTCAGATTTCTTTAAAATGGCAGAATCTAGTTACATCTTCAGAGAGGAGCTGCAGCTTCAACTAGCTGCAGTATTGTGTAATTGGCCCTCTCTACTGTGATAAGAGTTGTTACGTAAGTATTCCTTACACCAGAGGTAAGATGCACTGTCTATGCACTACTTCTAGCAGTCTGCAAAGGCCCTCAGTGGCCTTTGCACAACTCTTTAAGTTCTGTTTATAAGATGGCATGTAAAGGTCTTTCACAAAGATGGAACTAGTGTGTCCCATG